TGTTCACATTCAAAAGGAGGACCATCAGCCTAATGACCATTTGTCAGTGCCCTGAAGGTCGCTCACTATTCAGAGGGTTGAGTGATACTTGCATGAGCAGCATTGTAAGAAGGTGACAGTTGACCACGGAGGCTTCCGCCCTGTTTTAACAATCACCAGGTTCTCAACTCCTCTCTCAAAACAAAGTTCCTCTCTATCAAGGATGTGAACATCTTTGTCCCTGAAAGAGTGACCGCTGGCCTGGAGATGAGTGTAGACCGCAGAGTCCTGGTCTGATGATGTTGATCTTCTGTGCTGGGCCATCCTTTTGGCCAGTGGCTGTTTAGTTTCCCCGATGTAAGACTGATCACAGCCCTCCTGACACTGAACAGCATACACAATATTACTCTGTTTATGCCAGGGGACTGGATCTTAGAGATTAACCGGTCTTTGTGGTAATGTATTTTTGGGTATGAAAGCCTCTGGGACAACCATCCATCCAGTATCTTTAACCGCTTTGTCATTTTTGGATTGCAGATGTCACTGGTTCCCATATGCAGCATTCACTTTGTGAGAGGTGGGGTACACACGACAGGTCACAAGTCCATTACATGGCCACATAGAGACAAATGAGACAAACACTCACTCTGTGGACAATTTAGCTACCAGTTAGCCTAACATGCATGCTTTTATTCTGTGGTAGGAAACCGGAGTATCCGGATAAAACCCATGAATGCACAGAGAAAACATGCAAACTCCACCTAGAAAGGCGACTTTCTTGCTGACAGCCTCGACCAACTGAGCCACCGTGTCGCCTACTGGGATGTCATGTTTAGAAAATTTCTCAGTTTCTCTGAAACTCCTGCAACATATGAAATTACCATTGGTCTGGGGTCCTCCTTTTTACCTGAAGGCTGGCTAGAGTCCTGTTTTGATCTCTTATCTGCCTTCAGAAAGGCCCAGTCAGGATAGACACATTGCTCCAGGGCTTGCCTTGTAAAGGAGAAGTTCCACACCACCGATGTGTGGGATTTCTCCTTCACAGACCTCATTTTGCATGTGAACAACCAGCAAACTGATTGATCCAATTTGAGAAGGTGCTGCTTATAAGACTGAATTTGTTGAAGCTCCTCAGACTGAAGAAGTCTTTTGGACAAAAGATTAAACGTTTCAACAAAGAAGAATCCGTCCATAGGACCTGTCTCAACCTTGTTAGAAGCAAACAAGCAATGTCAGAAAATTAATGAATGAACAGTTTTAAAGATTTTATATGTATGTTGCATGGTAAGGGAATGCAGTGATTGGCTGTCACACTGAAAAAGGGAGCGGAGTTCAAAACTCAACTTGGGCTTTTTGTGTAGTTTGCTCACTTTCCCGGATGTGGGTTTTCATCGGGTGCTTCGGTTTCCTTCTACAATCCAAAAACATACATTGTAGTTTAATTAACTCTAATCGATGTGAAGTGTTAGTGTGTGAATGCATGGTTTGTTGTGTCATACCTCTTCGTGTTGGCTCTTTGATGGACAGATGAACAGTCCAGGATTTACTTTTGCCTCTCGACTCCCAAGCATTGAGTGCTGGGATAGGCACCAGCTTCAAGTAGCTCTTGACAATTACACAAGTAAAAAATAAATGGAAGTACAGATGTCAATTATATTGTTAGATTTTTAAGTTTATCTTGATTTTATAGTTCATTTGCTTTTATCCTTGATAATGCAGCAAATCAGCTGGGCTAAGAAATTAACCTTCCTGTTGCACTAGTGTCAAAGTGACCCACACAAGCTTATTGTTAGGACCTCATCCAAGTGACGCCTCATGGGTCATTATAACCCAAAGGCAGCAGGAGGTTTAAATCATTACAATTCCTATAAGGTCCAACAAACCCATGATGTACCATCACAAAACTTAGTTTTACAGACTGGACTTATAGATTTCATAGTAATACCTATGAATAAGTGCTATGTTGTCATCATTGTATGTTATCAGACAATAACAATATTGGTTCTCTGCATTTAACCCATTGCACCTGGGATGCACACAGGTGGAGCAGTGGGCAGCTACTGAGTGCCCAGAGAGCAGTTAGGGATTAGGTGTCTTGCTCAGAGACACCACAATATGTGGGAATAGCTGGGAGTCAAGCCGCGACTTTCTGGTCCCAGGTCGGCTGCCCTACCTCTATCCCATCTCAGCTACCTATGGTACGCTTTAGAAAAAATATTTTATTTCTCTGAGACAAATATAAAAAAGGGATATGTGGTGCATGTGTCATTAAAATATGTTTTACGGTACATTATTTTGTAAAAAACAAAAATCAAAATCAAAAAGTCAAACTAACCTGTTTCTCATGTCCACAAATTTGACCCATAGAACTATAAGAAATATAACTTTCAGTGACAACCCAAAAAATAAGTACCTAAGTGGCTACAGCTGTCGTATACACGTCACTGAATATATGCCTGCCTGTGACGGAAAAGCCCATTCAGTGGACCTCCATGAAAAATAATCTGGGTATTAGAAATGAGAAAATGTTGTTTACTAATGGTTTGAATTACACAACAAGGTGTTTTCCAGTCTGCAGGAAACCACCAGGAGCAGAAGAAATGTTCATGCTGGTCTAAATGTGTACAGTTTATTTGGCTAGCTTGACTTTTCCAGCCCAGTACAAACTGTTGCAAATTTTAAAAAAAAAATGTATAAGTTTATTGGGTTCATTTTTTAAAACTTATTGTTATTAACCTCATTTTCTAAGGCTGACCTTGAATCTGAAACAAAAGTAAACCTCATGAACATAATTGTTTTGTACATCAGACCATCAGGCTTGTATCTTTTTCTCTCTTTTCTTTCTCCTGCAATTTTATAGGGTCAAATTAACAGCAAAGTATCAACTTGTTTTGTTAAACCCTTCAATGGGGTTTCAAAGTTCTTTTGACTACAAGTAGACCATGCTGTGCCGAGTCACACCTGAAAACATTATGCCTTACCTGAGCAGTGTCAGAATCATTACGCGTTAAAGTATCATCAGAGAACTTTTTTTGTCTTTTGTGTAATCATATCAGGACAGATGTGCCACATTGTAAACGTAAACTAATCCAAAGATTAGTTTTAAACTTGATCATCTTTGACCCAATAGTTTACTTCTTTTTACAGTCCATATTGTGCAGTTGTCAATTACTCAGCTTAGAGATTTTAATTTATAACACATTTTAAAGTATAAAGTTTTAGTTTTTTTTTTTAACTTGCCTGTGTCCCCCATCCTGTTAGTCATAGTGACATAAAAATAAAATTAAACAATAAAACTCTGTCTAACTGCATTTGTATTATGTGGATGGACTAAAACGCAATGCACTGAGGCAGCCACAGTTCATTAGTGCAGTCATCTGCTAATAAGAGAAATTCAGGCAAAAACATTGAACCTTAGGTTTGTTTCGATTGTGTTACAGGAAACGCACTGCATAGTCGGGAATCCATAGACTAAATTGCGCTACATGTTAATGAATGACTTGTGGGGAAACATTTCATCAAATTACAGTTAACGCCGTAATACCTTGTCTGAAGCCAAGTTTTAGAAGTACAGAGAGTGACAGCCTCATGGAGAGGTTGAAAGTTGGATCTATAAGTTTGGAGCCTGATACTTTGACAAACTCTAGGAAGCACAAGTAAACCTGCAATCTGGGAGTGAAGGGCTCTGTTTGGAAAATATGGAACAAGACGATATTTAACACAAGATGGAGCTTGATTGTTAGGAGGATTGTATGTTAGAAGTAGGATTATAAATCCTGAATTTTACTGGGAGCTAACAAAGAAAAGCTAAAACTAGAGAAATATGATCTCTCCCCAAATCCAGTCAGAACTTGGGCAGCAGCATTTTGAATAAATTTAATATTTTAATTGATTTTTTTCAGACATCTTAATGGTAAACAATTAAGTCCAGCCTGGAAGTGATAAATGCATGCTAACAAGCAGAAGACAGTGCTGGTTATTCCTTGCAAACAATCACAGTGAACCAATCCTAGTATATAAATCAATATTTACAGACCAATTTATAAATCAGTATTTGGTTACAAAACAGATTCAAAATCTAAGCAAATTATGGATTTTAACACAAAATTACTGACACGCAAAACTGTTGCCTTTAAGCTCAGTAAAAATTTTTAATGTGGATTTTTTTTTTTTACATTTTGCATACGATGAGTGTAAACTGAACAGAAATGAGAAGTCTGTTCCAAAGGACAGGAGCCTGCTGAAAGCTCTGTCTCCTGTTCTACCTTTAAAAACTCTGGGAACCACGAGTAAACCCGCAGTTTGCCAGCAGGTGCTCTGTTAGGATCATTAAAATATTTAATATAAGATGGAGTTTGATTGCGGATTAATTTGTATGTTAGAATTATATTTTATGAACGATAAGGAAGCAACAAAAAGAGGTTGAAATTAAAGAACTGTGATTTTGCTGTCAGAACTCCGAAAGCGACATTTTGGATCAGCTGAATACTTTTTAGAGTTTTTCAGACATGATTCAATTTCAGTTCACTTATTTATATAGTGCCAAGTCACAATAGAAGTCATCTCAGGGCACTGAATGATAATTACAATAGTCCTGCCAAGAATTGACAAAGCAGATTTTTATGCATCATTTTGGAACAAGATGTTTCTGATTTTATATTTGATAGAGAAAATGAGGAAAGCCAGGAAAAATAAAAAGGCTATATTCCTTCAGTAATAAGATTTCACAGAAAGACATGGTAACCTCTGGAATATTACTTCTATAAATACGTCTCACAGAAAGACACGGAAACCTCTGGAATAAACAACAACATTCTTCTGCTGGATCATGCTTATCTCCTGTTTGCGAGACTTTGCTGGAACTTTCACGTTCAACTAATTTATTCGCTATTTCCGGGTAGCAACTGATGCCGTGCACCGCTGAACCCATTTTCTGATTGGACCATTTTTGGAGGCGGGGACTTTATGGCCGGAGGTGATTGGTCAGATCCGCTCCACCTTTTTTCTAGAGAGTTCTGGGAGGGAACGTTTTTGAGGAGGCGAGGCCACGGATGCTGCAGACGCACTCTGCAAACGGGAGACCAACCGAGAGAAAGGAGAGCTGCAAGGAGCGACCGATTCAAGATTCACTGCCAAGAGTATCACTTACAGCCGCTGTAAACCGAGAAGACGTTAACTGAACGGAGGTGAGTAGCGGAAGTTGATTTTCTTCTTCGTGGTTGGAGGAGTGCAAAAACAAGAGCACGAGACTAGAATTAACGTTTATCAACGGAAATGTGCTAAGCTATTTTATATTTGGCGTCCAAGCAATTTTTAAATTCAGGTTTATATCTGACAACGGTCATTTTTTTAAATTGTTCTTGACTAATTGACAAGGTAATGTCCGAGTTATTATTTTTTGTCACATTTAATAGTGCTGTTAAACTGGTTAAGTTGGCTAACGCCAGAGAAATTTCTCGAACTTTAAGATTTCCACACGTGTTGAAGTCGCCTGAAGCTCAAAGAAACACCCAGAAGTTTCTGGTAGCTCGATAATAAGGAGACACACCCCCTCCATGTTTACTGCGGCTGACCAACTGCTGAGATGACGTTTTAAATGCATTTTAATTCGTTTAAATCGAGTTTACTAGAGCTGTGAAGATTTGGAATGCTTAAATATATAAACGTTTTAGTTTGGAGATTTTTAGTCAAAACGGTCAAGACTGATGAATATCAGTTTTTTTTTTTTTCAACAGGCCGCTTCTATGGTTAGACTTTATTTTCTATTTTAAACTTCTACTAATCGCATTCTGTGCTCGTACAGGTCACATTTTGTCCCAAGTTTGTCACCAACTAGTCTGTCCTGAACTACTGGGATTTTTTGTTTGTGTGTTTGTTTCACCAGCAGGGGTGTCCAACACTAAAAGGTGGGAACAAAAAACCTTTTTCCAACTAGGGGCCGGTTTCAGAATCACATGGGTGTCGGATAAATTTCAACTAGGGCCATATTTGGCCCCTGGGCCTTGAGTTTGGCATCCTAGAGTCTCTCATCTATGCTATTGTCCATAGCACAACCCACTTAAATATGATTGGTGTAATTTAAATAGTAAACGCCATTTACCGTGTTGATGGCTTATTGCTAAAGTGAGACCAAACTTGTTGAGCTTCACACAATAACCTGCATTTTCTCCTACAGTCAGCAGGTGGTGACATTTGCTTCATAAATTAAAGTTAAATCTGGTCCTCTGGACATTCAAGAAAACCCAAAACAACAAAAAATGTAAACGTTTCGTCTCATCCGAGAAACTTCCTCAGTCTGAAGAGCTGTATTCAGCTCAGTCTCTTAAATAGCACCGTCTCAGAGTGGATCAACCAGTTTGCTGCTGACAACCAAAACCAGCTGATCACGTGCTCAAGAAGGACCATCAGCATAACAATGGATCATTAGCACACTGATGGCTGTTTACTGTTCACAGAGGGCTGAGTGATACTAGCAATCACAGCATTGCAAGAGGGGGACAGTTGAACCCGGAGGCCTCCACCCCGTTTAATGATGGACTATTTCTTTTCACAAAGATGGCCTTTACTCTTCTTTCAAACCATCGTTCTTCTCTGTCCAGGATGTGAACATCATCCCTGAAAGAGTGACCGCTGGCCTGGAGATGAGTGTAGACCGCAGAGTCCTGGCCTGATGATGTTGATCTTCTGTGCTGGGCCATCCTTTTGGCCAGTGGCTGTTTTGTTTCCCCGATGTAAGACTGATCACAGCCCTCCTGACACTGAACAGCACAAACAGAGTAATGTTGTGTATGCTGTTCAGTGTCAGGAGGGCTGTGATCAGTCTTACATCGGGGAAACGAAACGGCCACTGGCCAAAAGGATGGCCCAGCACAGAAGATCAACATCATCAGGCCAGGACTCTGCGGTCTACACTCATCTCCAGGCCAGCGGTCACTCTTTCAGGGATGAAGATGTTCACATCCTGGACAGAGAGGAACGATGGTTTGAGAGGAGGAGTAAAGGAGGCCATCTTTGTGAAAAGAAATCGTCCATCATTAAACGGGTGGAGGCCTCCGGGTTCAACTGTCCCCCTCTTACAATGCTGTGATTGCTAGTATCACTCAGCCCTCTGTGAACAGTAAACAGCCATCAGTGTGCTAATGATCCATTGTTAGGCTGATGGTCCTTCTTGAGCATGTGATCAGCTGGTTTTGGTTGTCAGCAGCAAAACTGGTTGATCCACTCTGAGAAGGTGCTATTTAAGAGACTGAGCTGAAAACAGCTCCTCAGACTGAGGAAGTCTCTCGGATGAGAGACGAAACGTTTCTACATTTTTTGTTGTTTTGCTTTGTTTTGGTTTTTTTTGAATGTCCAGAGGACCAGATTTAACTTTTTTTAGATTTTTCTACCTGGATTATTGAGCATGCATCAGGATATTTGCTTCATAAAGTTCTCTCAAAAGATTAAGGATTCACACCACGTGGTGGAACGAAATTGTGTACACGGTCCCAGTTTCAACAAAAGTATAAAATTTAAAATTATCCAAGATTTGAAGACTACATAAATGCAATAACCACTAGTAGCGTAGATAAAATCCACTGAACAGCATGAATGTGAGTCTGTGTGAGCTATATGCTTAAATGTTCTCCGTGCGCTTGAATCTGCTCCTTTCCTGTTGAAGCTGGTTTTGATGGAGCTCTGTCCACATACACATGAGCTGTTTGGTGACATGCTTTGAGTATAGTCCATGACCTCCACCGCCCAGAAATGTAATCTTGAAAGCTCAATTCCCCATGAGGTTTGAGATGGGGTTTATATTTCTGCGTCGACGCTGCTGTTGTAGCAACAGTAAACATGGGGGCTGCAGCTCTCCGGGAATAGGAAAGATTTTGTCCTGTGTCTTCACATTTTTTTTTTTTTGCCTCCGTGAATATTGATTGAGACAGTTGTTGTAGGGTGCATGTAGCACATGCTTTGGATTTTGCTATTTAATCTGTTTAGTCTGTCACCTCATTAATGTGTTTGATTGTTGCTGTCCACAGAGCTTGAGGTAGAAGCTGCTGTTCATCAGGATTGTTTTCTTTCAGGAATCATGTCTAAAGGACCAGCTGTGGGCATCGACCTGGGCACTACCTACTCTTGCGTAGGAGTGTTTCAGCACGGCAAAGTTGAGATCATTGCCAACGACCAGGGAAACAGGACCACGCCCAGTTATGTTGCCTTCACTGACACCGAGAGGCTGATCGGAGACGCAGCCAAGAACCAGGTGGCCCTGAACCCCAACAACACTGTATTTGGTAAGATTGCAATCTCAGACCACGTACGATTAATAATCTAAAGCATTTCTGCTCTTTAATCGCATCATTTATGCCCCCCCTCCCCCCAGATGCAAAGCGTCTTATTGGGCGTCGTTTTGATGACAGCGTTGTGCAGTCTGACATGAAACACTGGCCCTTCACCGTAATCAATGATAACACTCGTCCCAAAGTAAAAGTGGAGTACAAAGGAGAGACCAAGACTTTCTACCCAGAGGAGATCTCCTCCATGGTGCTGATCAAAATGAAGGAGATCGCAGAGGCTTACCTTGGCAAGGTATCCTGATGGACTTCAGGTTTTTCTTTGTCCATGGGTGCTGAACTGTCGTGACAAATGTTGCAATGTTTCTGATTTTTATTTCAGACTGTAACTAATGCTGTGGTGACTGTTCCTGCCTACTTCAACGACTCCCAGCGCCAGGCGACCAAAGACGCAGGAACGATTTCTGGCCTTAATGTTCTGCGTATTATCAACGAGCCCACTGCTGCTGCCATTGCTTACGGCTTGGACAAGAAGGTAGAACAATGTTTTATTTAAGCTACAGATTACCAGATTAATTTGAAAGCCCAAATGTTTAAATCTGTCATATTCAGTCCTGGAACCTTTTTCAGCTGTAGCCAAATTTTAAAATGTACTTTTCAGGTGGGATCTGAGCGACACGTGCTCATCTTTGACCTGGGCGGCGGCACGTTCGATGTCTCCATCTTGAGCATCGAGGACGGCATCTTTGAAGTGAAGTCCACGGCAGGCGACACGCACTTGGGCGGCGAGGACTTCGACAACCGCATGGTGAACCACTTCATTGCAGAGTTCAAACGAAAGTACAAGAAGGACATCAGCGCCAACAAGAGGGCGGTGCGGCGTCTGCGCACAGCCTGCGAGCGAGCCAAGCGCACGCTGTCGTCCAGCACTCAGGCCAGCATCGAGATCGACTCCCTGTACGAGGGCATCGACTTCTACACCTCCATCACCAGGGCCCGCTTCGAGGAGCTGAACGCTGACCTGTTCAGAGGAACTCTCGAACCTGTGGAGAAGGCGCTCAATGATGCTAAGATGGACAAGGGTCAAATCCACGACATCGTCCTGGTGGGAGGGTCAACTCGCATTCCTAAAATCCAGAAACTGCTGCAGGACTTCTTCAACGGAAAGGACCTGAATAAGAGCATCAATCCTGACGAGGCTGTGGCTTACGGTGCAGGTAGGAGTTCTCCTAGAGAAGACTTGCAGTACCATCAAGCGTTTTGTCTAAACCTCTTCTACCTGTTGGTTCTGCAGCCGTCCAGGCAGCCATCTTGTGCGGCGACAAGTCCGAGAACGTTCAGGACCTGCTGCTGCTGGATGTGACCCCTCTGTCTCTGGGCATCGAGACCGCAGGTGGAGTCATGACCGTGCTCATCAAGAGGAACACCACCATCCCCACAAAACAAACGCAGACCTTCACCACCTACTCTGACAACCAGCCTGGTGTCCTCATCCAGGTGAGAGACTGGTCTGTTCAAGATGTTTGAAGGAACCCCGTTCTTGTTGGGCTGACCGTATTTACTGTGTAGGTGTTTGAGGGTGAAAGAGCCATGACCAAAGACAACAACCTGCTGGGGAAGTTTGACCTGACTGGAATCCCACCAGCTCCTCGAGGAGTTCCTCAAATCGAGGTGACCTTCGATATCGACGCCAACGGCATCATGAACGTGTCCGCGGTCGACAAGAGCACTGGGAAAGAGAACAAAATCACAATCACCAATGACAAAGGTCGGTACAGACAACATTTAGTTGTGTTTATTCAACTCTATTCTCTTTGCCTAAAACGTATTTGTCTATCAGGTCGCCTGAGCAAGGAGGACATTGAGCGAATGGTCCAGGAGGCAGAGAAGTACAAATCTGAGGATGACGTGCAGAGAGAGAGGGTGTCTGCCAAGAACAGTCTGGAGTCCTACGCCTTCAACATGAAGTCCACTGTGGAGGACGAGAAACTGAAGGACAAGATCAGCGAGGAGGACAAGCACAAGATTCTGGACAAATGTAACGAGGTCATCAGCTGGCTGGACAGAAATCAGGTTTGTCTTCACGTTACAGCTGGAAACCTGCAGAGGAGCTGCAGAGATGCTAACCACCTGTCTGTCTTTGTTTCTGCTCAGTCTGCAGAGAAGGAGGAGTTTGAGCACCAGCAGAAGGAGCTGGAGAAGGTGTGTAACCCAGTCATGACCAAGTTGTACCAAAGTCCTGGAGGGATGCCCGGAGGGATGCCCAGCGGTTTCCACGGCGCTGGTGCTGCTCCTGGATCAGGAGGATCCTCTGGTCCCACCATCGAGGAAGTGGACTGAGCTAAAGAATGTGTTTGATCTTTTTGTTGTTTGTATATTTTTGCCAAGGCGTGTTTCCTGAATGGTTAAACAGTAACTGCAGTTCTCTTTGCCAACCATTTCTGTGGCAACTGTTCAGACGTGTTCACTTCACCGCAGTATTTTTTAAATTTATTCTGTTCTGTCTAATGCACAATACCTCAATAAAAGATTATCTTTGCCTTATAGTTTCTGTATTATTCCTGGTCCACAAGTCAGGACCTGTGGTTGTAGCACCCACTCGGTGGTGCTGCGTGTGGAACATCAGATCCAAACGGAAAGCAGTGTTCGATACCAGGATTTTCTGGTCCGATGCGATACCGGGTAAAATATATTCGCCTATCGGTGTTGTTGATTCCGATACTGATACTTTTTGGCAAATCTGCCTAATGTGTCCGGTAAACCTAAAAAAAATCAGTGTATTCAAGTCAAAGTTGCATAAAGAACGCAAGACAAAGTAATTTATTTTAAACTGAGGAGTATGTTGATGCAGTGGCCTCATTTAGTCTGAGCTTATAAAACAAACAGGACATCATACAAAATATATGAAAATGGTTTTTCAAACAATAAAAAGCATAAAACATAAAAAAAATTATTAAATATATTAAATAATTAGATATATTAAAGATAATATGTTATATTTGATTGTTAAGTCATGCTTCTTCCAACTGAGGCGGCTGTCTAAACTGAAGCCCCTGGAGCCAGTAATACATGCATTCATTACATCTAGGCTTGATTACTGCAATTCACTCCTGTTTGGTATCAGTCAGACCTCCATTGCACGACTGCAACTGGTCCAGAATGCAGCAGCCCGATTTTTAACCAGTACAGGCAAAAGAGAGCACATTACACCAGTTTTGGCTTCACTGCACTGGTTACCGGTTCACTTTCAAATCCAGTTCAAAATACTCATGTATGTCTACAAATCACTGAACAGTGTTGCCCCCCCCCCCCCCCATCTCTCTGATCTGCTACAACCGTGTGTCCCACCACGTTCCCTGAGGTCAGCGAACCAGTTGCTCCTCACAGTTCCAGGAACTCGTCTTGACAGGGCCTTCTCTGTAGCAGGACCAAGACTTTGGAACGAGTTACCTCTGCTTGTCAGACAGGTCCCCTCCCTCTCGGTTTTCAAGCCCCGTTTAAAAACTCACTACTATTCAGTAGCATTCAACCCCAGATGATCTGTGTTTTGATCCTGTATGCTCCACACTGGTTTGTCGTCATTATCTGCATCGTTTTTTGTCTATATTTCTGATTTACTTCATTTTGTATTTTGCTTTGTGTGTTACCTGTTGTTCTGTCTGTACAGCACTTTGGTTGGCCTTGTCGCTGTTTTAAGTGCTCTATAAATAAAATGGTATGGTATATTTTTATCCACATTTTTTTAAATATATTTTTCAGAGTTCACCAAGCTTATCTCCACTGCTCTGTATAATTTGACACCAGTTGTATGTAATCCACTTTAAATGATCCACTTTAAATGCTATGAAACCTTACCTGAATAAATCTAGTCTTTTTTTGCCCATGTGAGATTATCTCAACTCCAACTGCAGTAGTTCTTGGCACAGCTGAAAGCTCCACATTTCCTCCCTCTGTACCTGGATAGTCCTGCAGCCCTGAATGCTAGGAAACACCTTGTATATGTGACTTTCCTTCCCTCCATTGATTACGGTGACATTATTTACATGAACGCTCCTACAAGAACCCTGCAGATGTTGGATGCTGTCTATCATGGTGCACTAAGATTCATAACTGGCTGTGATTATCGTACCCACCACTGCACCCTGTATTCACTGGTTAACTGGACATCATTAACTTCATGCAGACTCTCTCACTGGTACATTTTCATCTTTAAATCACTTCTTGGTCTGATGCCTTCATACATCTCCTCCTACATGTCTCTGCATGAGTGCAGCTACAGCGTGCGCTCTCAGGACATTATTACCTGCAGTGTTCCCTCATTGAAGACTGAACTAGGTAAAAGGGCCTTCTCCTACTCCGCTCCTGTTTCCTAGAACATCTTACAAAAAGATCTGAAGCTCTCGACCTTTGACCTCTCTAAGTGGCTTTAAGAATCTGTTGGACTCCTGGCAGGAACCAATGCAGACACGTTCCTGTTTTTAGTTTTCTACATTCACCTTATAATCTAGCTGTTTTTTGTTACTTTTCTTTTTTTAGCCATCCTATTTGTTTAAAAAAAATAAAATAAAATCTGTATGCCTTTTTATAATTGTCTATTGTTGTTGCTGTTGTCCATTGTTGTCATCATTCTTTGTTGAAACCAGGTCTCTCTTGTAAATGAGTCCTTGAGGCTCAATAGGATTTACCTGTCTAAATAAAGGTTGAAAAAAAAAAATCTAAATAATCTATTTTTAAATTAAAGGTTTAACTCTGGTATTAAGATGGTTGCAGTAATTTGCAGTAAATTTACAGATGTATTGGCACAAAAAGGTTATTTTTATAAAAAAAATAAAAATAAATTATAGACTGAAAAAGTATGAAACTTAAAAATAGACGTGAACTGATTCAGAGCTTCTGTCAGCATCATGTTTTCAATATAAGAGTGAAAAATCAGACAAAATGCACGCTTTTCTCCGTTTATTTAGTTGATTTGTGGATATCCGTGTTTACATAAAGTGTTTGGAAAGTTGCGTGGACACAGGTCCTCTGATCCAGGTGTTCATGAGGTCGGGTTGTTCTTCGAGCTGGTTGGGAGGATGTAGGGCAGGTCAGCGTGTGTTGGAGTTTCTGGGGCATTCGTGCATCCGGTAGGCACACATGAAGAAGATACCTGAGAAGAAGACGATTGTCAGAGAAAGTAGAGCACGAAACACGAGCTGAAGTCTGACTCCAAGATGCAAACCTGAGAAAAATGTGAGCACCACCGCCACCCAGCCCATTATGTAGGACCAGGAGAACCGCCAGCTGCCATAGCGTTTCCCATAGTAGTTCACGGTCACTCCGGTGTAGACAGCCATCGCCAGCAGCACGAAGAAGCCTGCAGAGAAACGGGTCAGAAGTGAGGTCTGTTTCAGGACGGAGGGATGATGGGTGTGGCTGTCAGCTGCTTACAGGAGATGAAGAAGAGGATCCCGGCTGCAAAGGTCTTGTCGAAGCCGTCAAAGGAGGAGTAGTGGACGAAGGCCATGATGCCGATCACGATGCCGAGGAAACAGGCCAGCAGGGACAGAATCATGAAGGCCCGGGTGGCATCCCAGTAGGCTGAGACAGGGAGAGGACAGGGGTCCACACGTGCGTCAGAACCTTTCTAAACTCAGAAGTAAAGATCCTTTCAACACCTAAGTGCACAAGTTTTCCTGTGAATTTTCATTTTCAGCAGATTTAATATAAAAATTTGAATTTTCTGAAAGTCTCTTTGGAAATAAAAGCAACTTGTGTCCCTGATGAATTCATGCTCTAAATTCACAAAAAATAATAATTACAAAACAACTACAGTCATAGGATTGTACTGGTCTGATTTTACAGTCTACATGCTTTGATGGTGACCAGTTTACTTTATAACTGATGACTTCAATTTTTGGCCCAATTTTAAACCAAATGCTAATTTATAAATCGTCACTGATTTAAATACAAAGTGATGACTCTGTCTTTAATCTATATTGTGTGAACTGTCTTCTGCTTGTCTTGTCACTTTCAGTCTGGATTACTGTGATCATTTCTTATCAGGAGCACCTGACAAAACCCTCAAAAACAAGTCCATGTGGTCCAAAATGTTCTGAGTTAAAAATCACACTTCTCCAGTTTTAGCTTCTTTTTTACATTAAATTATGAACAGAATTTAAATCTTACTTCTAACATACAAATCTCTGAACAACTAAGCTCCATTTTATATTAAAGCTCTAGTGTTCCACAGAGCACTTCACACTCAGACTGCAGGTTTACTCGTAGTTCCTATAGTTTCTAAAAGTTGAATGGGAGACAGAGAGTTCAGTTATCAGGCTCCTCTGTTGTGGAACCAACTTCCAGTTGCAGTCTGTGAGGGGGACACTCTAATAAGACTTTCCTTTTTGGTAAATCCTAAAGATAGTGTTGGCTTGAGTTTCCTGAACTATCCCTTAGTTATGATGCTATAGGCTTAAACTGCTGGAAGACCACATTTCCTAACTTTGCTGCAGTTGAGCCACTCTAATGTTCATGTTTGTATTTGTACGTATTAACGTGCTTTTCCTTTACTCTCTTTCCATAGAAACAAAACCTGAACCATAGAAACTACACCTTAACCATATAAACTGTGCATGGACCATAAAAACTACACCTGATCCATACAAAGTACACATAGACCATAGAAACTACACCTGGACCATAGAAACTACACCTGGACCAAAACAACTACACCTGAACCATAGAAACTGCACCTGAACCATAGAAACTACACCTGGGCCATATAAATTACACCTGAACCATAGAAATGACACAGGGACCATGGAAACTACACTTGGAGCATAGAACTTACACCTGGATCCTAGAAACCCCTGAACAATAAAAACTACATCTGAACCACAGAAAAGACACCTGGACCATATAAATGACACGAGAACCACAGAAACGACACCTGGATCATATGACACCTGGACTATAGAAACAACATCTGGATCATAAAAACTACACCTGAACCATGTGCAACTGGACCATAGAAACAACACCTGGATCATCCATTGTGTGTCTGTCTCCTGTCTCCTCAGCCTCCAAAAAACTACACCTGGACCATAAAAACTACACCTGAAACATATGCACCTGGATCATAGAAACTACACCAGGAGCATCCATTGTGTGTCTGTCTCCTGTCTCCTCAGCCTCCAAAAAACTACACCTTGCCCATAAAAACTACACCTGAACCATAGAAACTACACCT